CACACACACACACACACACACACACACACACACACACTACTGTGCCATTCACAAGCTGTGCCCCACGATCGTCCAGCCCTCTCTGTCTTCAAGGCACTGAGGCTGGGTTGGCAAACCAGCCTCCTGCGTCCCCGTGATTCCGCCTTGTGAGGAGCAGAATGGGATGCCCCTCTCCGCCTGGAGCCTGAGAGGTGGTGTAGCTTTGGAGAGAAGAGGTCCTGCTCCGGGGTTCTAATCTCAGCTCCGCCACGTGCCAGCCCGTGTGGCCTCGACCGAGGAACCACACGTGCTTCTTTTATCTGCAACATGCCCACTTCAGAGGCCCCCGCGAGGACCGGTGACCCAGTGCGGGCTCGGGGAGTTGTTAGCATGCAGCGAGGGTTGGCAAGTAGCCTACTTCCGGTGCATCTACCCACGCCTCCGACGTGGCTTCAGGGGCCCCGTGGAAGCAGGGTGGAGTGGGGTACCCCAGCAGGCTCCCAACTCCCACCCCACCTGAAGGGGCTGCTATTCCTGCCTGTGAGGGTGGCTCGATCCCGCGGCCCAGCAGCAGCACCCTCTGGAAACATCCCGCCCTGGAGGACTGTTAGATCCCACATCCCCGTCTCACGAGGGCACTTGTGTCATGCAGGCCCCCACCCGTGGCCACCTCAGCGATCCCACTGGGGCTCATTCAGATGGGGTCTGTTTCCCAGGGGTTCTGAGCCCACCTTTTGTATCCCTTGGGGTTGCCCCGGGCCCCCTGCGTTCTGCTCCTTAAATCCCAGATAGCTGGGCCATGAATGCCCAACGCCGAGGAGGTGCGCTGGTCCAAGGCGGCTTTCCATCCATTCGACAGGCATGTGCTGAGTGCCTCCTATGTACCAGGCTCTGTTCTGGGCTCCGGAGACTCAGCGAGGGTGATTCAGTGAGATTCAGTGAGGGCGAAGCTTCCATCCGGGAGCGGGGAAGGGTGAGCAGGCCAGGACCAGGGAAAGACAACGGGACCGCTAGGCAGTGCTGAGAGCCTGCCTGAGGTTTGGGCTCATAAAGGTAAAGCAAGACCAGTGAGGTCACGTGATTCTGCAGGCCCATTCAGGGTCAAGGGTACAGGTGCAGAGCGGGCAGAGCGCCAGGTTTTTTTCCCCAGCGAATGTGACGAAAGCAGAAGAGGAGGCCGGTGGTGGAGAGGCTTTGTAAGGGGCTGGGCGAGGCCAGGAGGGTGGAGAGGGAAAGTGGGAAGAGCTGGCAACCAATGGATCAGGGGTCCTGGAGGGTCAGGAGAACTCCTGCAGGCAGCAGGATCAACAAGTGAGGTGGGAAAATAAAGAGAACGCGGTAGCTACCTTAAGTGGTTCCATCAACACCACAATCCAAAATGTTCAGGGAGGGGCCACACCAGCCACCAAGCCAAGATGGGGAAAGGAAAATTGGCCAGGTTTACATCCGGTGCAGAATGCGGCGTAGACACCAGCTGACTCCAACAGCCTGAGCTGGGGTTCTCAGATGGCACACAGAGATGTCACACGCCCTTGTCCACGTGTCGCATCTGTAATTTCACAGGTTCAAGCGGCTAAATCCCTCCAGGAGGGGGTGGTGTGGGACCGTGGGGCTGTTCCTCAACTTATCAGCCGATCTTGACGTCCCTCCCACTGCCTGCCAGGTGGTGACAGTGCTTCTGGTCCTCAGGAATGTGTACGCTCCCTACACTAACAGGCTTCTGATAAGATCCAAGGTCATATCTGGCGTGCTGATAACCACCTTGCAAAAACTGTGGCTTCCTGGTGTGCCTCCCTGAACCACTGATCACACTAAACCCCACCCATAGCCCTCCCATGCTGTCCTCCTGACCAGCAGCACCAGGGGGGATGGACACAGGACGGTGGGGGGCAGGCGGTGCCCACAAAACAGGGTTGTGAGCAGGAAGGGGGCTGCTCCGGGAGCGGGCTGTGAAATCACACACACACCAAGTCTACCCTGCCCGGCTCGCCCAGCTCTTGGAGCATCTGTGGGGCAATCAATGGGCTGCAGCCTGGCTGGGGAGAGGCCCAAGGCAAGATAGGTCATGGGGGTAGGAGGAGTCACAGCTTGAGCCCCGGGGATCTTCCCACCCTGCCTGGCTGTCTGAGGCCCAGAAGGGGCCCAATCAACATTTGTAGTGAGAACTTGGTGTCTTCCTCTCCTTCTCAGCCTTTGCGCATGCTGGGCCATTTGCACGGATGGCCTGCACCTCCCTTCTCCGCCTGCTGAATGCCTTCTCATCCTTGGCAGATCCCCTCAAATGTTCGCTCTTAGAATTCCTCATTCTCCCCACTGGGAACACACTGGTCCTCCCTCTATAGGGGCACTTACCACATGGTTGAGCCCAAAGCCTGCCTGTCTCCCCTCTGGACCTGAAGTCTTGGGCACCTCTTCCTCCTCAGGCCCTAACACGGGTCTTGCACAGAGCTGGATGAATGGATACTTGCAGGTATAAGAGAAGGAGTGAATAAAGGAATGGATGGATGGGAGGGTGGGTGGATGCGTGGATAGAAAAATGGATGGGTAAATGGGTTAGTGGGTAGATGGATGGATGGGTGGATGGATGGATGGGTGGATGGGTGGATAGATGGATGGATGGATGGATGGATGGATGGATGGATGGACGGATGGAAGGATAGAAGGATAGAAGGATGGATGGATGGATGGTTGGATGGATGGATGGGTAGTTGGGTGGGTAGATGGATGGATGGATGGATGGGTGGCTGGATGGGAGAATAGATGGGTGGGGGAATAGGAGGGCGGGTGGATAAATAGTGGATAGATGGATGGATGAACGGGTGAATGGATTCCAGAGAGGGCAGATACGGTTAGAGGATGGAGGAGGAAGTCACCTTGCAAAGGAAGAAATGGCTTCCCTTTCTAAGGGTTCCACTTCCTCACATAAGCTGGGACCCCTGCAGGATACACACAGAGAATTCTTCTGGATCCCCTTTCTTCCTTTAGCCCCAGGTTTTGCATTTTAGGGAGTCAGATGAGGCAGGAGTGGCTAAAATGTACTGAGCTCCCATGATGTGCCAGACACTGGGCTAGATTTTTCTGCAGATGTGGTCTTGTTTAATGAAAACAGCACCAGTTTTGTGAAACAGATCTATTATCCCCGTTTGACGGCTTTAAAAAAACAAAACAAAACAAAACAAAACAGAGTCAGAGAAGCTAAACGAATTGCTCAGGGTCACACAGCTTACATCCGGCAAGGACGGCATTTGAACTCAAAACCTGCTCAAGCAGCGGGGACTGAATGCGCTGGAAATCAAAGGGCGCTGAGGAGACAGAGGTAGGGGTGGCTGGGGGCAGGCCCAGCCTTGCTCTGAACAGTGGCTCTGAGTTCCAGTTCTGACTGAGACCTGGTCCCTCTCTGGGCCTCAGTGTGCCCATATGGACTTGATACCCTGGGGGTCGCTTCGGTGAATGATGCAGATATGGAGGTGGATGGGAACAGCTCGCGGCCCTCCCTGCAGGATGCTCCCTGACTCTCCCCGCCAGCGGAGGGCCAAAGGGCAGGGCCACCCATGGGGTAATGGTTAACTAGACCTGACACCCATCTACAAGGAGTGACCCCAGCTGGCCAAGACTCCACAGGATGCAGTGGGTGAAGGTGCTTGGGGGGCTGGTGGGGGCCTCTGCCCTCTTGGGCCTGGGGATCATCCTGGGCCACTTCGCCATTCCCAAAGGGGCCGACGCACCAGCTCCCGGCGTCTCGGTCTCCCAGGACCTGGATCTGGAGATCCTTGAGACCGTCATGAAGCAGCTGGATGCCAGCAAGATCCGAGAGAACCTTAGGTGAGAGGGCTGTCTACCCTCCCCTCCTGTTCACCAGAGGCGCCTCCCTGACCCTGGGCCTGGCCCTTTGTCTCCCCGCAGAGAACTCTCCAGGGAGCCTCACCTGGCCTCCAGCCCCCGGGATGAGGCGCTGGCACAGCTCCTGCTGCAGCGCTGGCGGGACCCGGAGTCAGGCCTGGACGCAGCGGAGGCCCCCACGTACGAAGTGTTGCTGTCCTTCCCCAGCCGGGAGCGGCCCAACCGGGTGGCTGTCGGTGAGTCCCTCCCACTCAGGTCTGGGGATGCCCGTGGGGCAGGACCTGCCAGGCCCAGCTCTGATGCTGCCCCTCCTCCACAGTGGGTCCCACTGGGACCATCCTCTTCTCCTGCCGCCAGAGTGAACAGAACCTGACTGGGGAGCAGGGGGGCCCCGATGTGGTGCCACCTTATGCCGCCTACGCTCCCCCTGGAACCCCGCAGGTGGGCCTGGGACACTCCCTCCCCTCTGCCGAGGCCCAGTCCCCTCTGGCTCCACCCCAAATTCTCCCTTCCTGACCCAGGGCCCTTCCCTCTAAACTCCACTGCCACACCTTTTGCCCATCGCCTAGCCATTTTACAAATGCTGATGGCCCCATGTTCAAGGTCAGGCCCACTACAGGGCACCTGGACCCAGAGGAAACGAGATGTGACT